CAAAAAAAAAAAACTAACTTAAGTATAGGGGATATGCCGAAGGAACCATCGAACCCCTTCCTAAATTGTGTTTTGGTGTTGTAGGACCTATAGAAACCCATCAAGTATTGTTATCTCTTTGGTTGTCGTTGTTCAATCCTCACATATCTCTATCAAATCCTACTATAAACAAAAGTTTGGGTGCATTGATCGCATTCATTTCAACATCCCTCAAGTTATGGAGAATAACTTTTTGAGATAGTTGATTAACTTCTCTATACATTCGTTGTTTACCGAGTTTAAGTTAAAGTGAAGTACGTATAAATTTTTGCAAATACTTGTCATTGACCAATAAAGAAGCATGTTATATGGTTAGCACAATAAAAGATCAAACAAAAAAAACACACAATAATATTGTTCTAATTAATTTTTTTACTAAAATTTTTTAATCAATTGGTCCGGAATAGCCATAAATATAGAATTTTACTGAGATTCAGTAATCTTCACTAATCCAATAATCACATGACCTAATAAGGAAAAATACATAAGAAAATTGATTAGTGTAATAATGTCAGAACACATAAGCATACTTGATACCAATAAGCATGACTTGGCTAGCTACTCAGCTTTTTATAGATGCACGAATGAATTTCTGCAATAATTTGAGATAGCGACACCAAGGCGAGAGTTGTGCGATTGTCCTGCAGTAGAGAACAAGGCTAGAGATTTATCTAGCTTATTCTCTCTGATGCTTAAGTCAATAGGTGGTCAAAGGGATAATAAGGTTTTTACCGTACTAGGTTACTAATGAGTGCATACTTGAGATCTAATTTATTGAGTTATTTATACGTGTTAAAAGGATGACGTGGCACTTAGGGGTCTCATTAAGCCAACTGGGAGAGCTTTCATAGGGGTAATCATTAGTGGGCTATCCTTCTCCTCAGTCGCGCAAGTCAATTATTAATTGATACTTTAAAATTTAAAATTTTAATACTGCACTATCAATCAACAAAAAAAATAAAAATATGGTCTAAAATCAATTTTTTTGTCTTATAACGACAAATGTTTTTGTAGTATTTTTTATATTATTCTATTTTTATACATAATTATTTATATAATATTTAATTTTATATAATTTATGTAAAAATTTTGTACTCAATTTTATTAAAATAGAGAATATTACTATTTTTTTTGTTTGCTCACCCTAAAAAATAAATAGAACAATGTTATTTTGACCATTTATAAATACATTTGTTGGCCTAATCATTTATACTAAAGTCATTTTGTGTCCTAACAATAGACATCATCAGTGAGTTTCTTCGGGGACAGACATTATTTTTTTTATAATTTTAATGGCAAACATTTGTTTTAAAGTTTTTTTTTGAAGAAAGCACAGAAAAAATAAATAAAAATTGGCAATGACCCTCAATCTTTATTCTGGCATGAGAGTGCCTAGAAGTTACAAGAGATATATGTCATGTGCTATCCAATAAAGTGCAATTAAATGAATACAATGAGGATGCTTTGTCCCACCTACAAGTGCCCTCCCATAAGTGCTCCAGCTCAATGATAACCAGTGTTCTTTAAGCCATCTCAATGCTCTCCTCATCTGTTTTTCTGGTTTTTTTTTTTTTTTGAATCATCAAGAAAGTTCTATGGTAGATGTATTGGTAGACAGCATCAAGTGAAGGGGAAGTACTAAAGTGATTACTTTGAGTGTAATTCAAACAACTTTTTTATTAGTAATCAAAAATGTTGTTTAAAAAAAAAACTCGAAGATAAAAGTGATTCAAAGATTGCCAATTACTCAACAAAGCAGAAATAATGAGGGATGGTTATGGCTACTTGTATTTTAGGAGCCAAAAAAAAAAAAAGCTTTGGCTTTTCCTTTGAAGTGAAGATAAACACTTCCAAATGATACGTATGTTTTTTCTANTATTATTCTATTTTTATACATAATTATTTATATAATATTTAATTTTATATAATTTATGTAAAAATTTTGTACTCAATTTTATTAAAATAGAGAATATTACTATTTTTTTTGTTTGCTCACCCTAAAAAATAAATAGAACAATGTTATTTTGACCATTTATAAATACATTTGTTGGCCTAATCATTTATACTAAAGTCATTTTGTGTCCTATCAATAGACATCATCAGTGAGTTTCTTCGGGGACAGACATTATTTTTTTTATAATTTTAATGGCAAACATTTGTTTTAAAGTTTTTTTTTGAAGAAAGCACAGAAAAAATAAATAAAAATTGGCAATGACCCTCAATCTTTATTCTGGCATGAGAGTGCCTAGAAGTTACAAGAGATATATGTCATGTGCTATCCAATAAAGTGCAATTAAATGAATACAATGAGGATGCTTTGTCCCACCTACAAGTGCCCTCCCATAAGTGCTCCAGCTCAATGATAACCAGTGTTCTTTAAGCCATCTCAATGCTCTCCTCATCTGTTTTTCTGGTTTTTTTTTTTTTTTGAATCATCAAGAAAGTTCTATGGTAGATGTATTGGTAGACAGCATCAAGTGAAGGGGAAGTACTAAAGTGATTACTTTGAGTGTAATTCAAACAACTTTTTTATTAGTAATCAAAAATGTTGTTTAAAAAAAAAACTCGAAGATAAAAGTGATTCAAAGATTGCCAATTACTCAACAAAGCAGAAATAATGAGGGATGGTTATGGCTACTTGTATTTTAGGAGCCAAAAAAAAAAAAAGCTTTGGCTTTTCCTTTGAAGTGAAGATAAACACTTCCAAATGATACGTATGTTTTTTCTACCTTGGTGTACAGTGACATAATTCAAATATGACTCGTTTAAGTCTATCACATGTTACATTAGTATCATACGACCTGGTGGTCAAACAAAATAAGAAAAAAAAAGAATACCTTAGGACCATTATTCCCAAAAAGACAAATATTTTTGAAGAGATTTTTTTTTATATTTTTATGTAGAAAATTGATTAATGTCTAAATAATCACGGAAGTCCATGAAGATAAGAGCTTCTCAGGATTCAATACATATTCAAACATTTTATATATGGACTTTGAATATGGTAGCGTGTCTCCAAAATTTATTACTTTTATTAGTATTTTTATAATTTTTGTGGGTATTTTTATAATAAAAAAATTTATTACTTTTGTGACTGATTTACTACTTTTGTGAGTATTTTTTATTACCGGTGTCATAACTATTTTTACCACTTTTTTTTTTCAGTACAAAAAAAAAATTATCACTTTGTGGGTAATTTACCGTTTTTGTGAGTATTTTAACCATTTTTATATGTATTTTTTTTTTATCAATGTTGTGGTAATTATTTTTACTATTTTTATTCGGTATCACAATAATGGTAAAAACACTCACAACAATAGTAGTAAAACACTTACAAAAATGAAAAATAATAAAAACGATACTGAAATTTTTTTTACGATAAAATAGACAACTCCTATATATACCCATCGGTATGACTAAGGTGTAAGCCCGCAACATATTTAATCACTCTCAAATTATATACATCGGTTCAATCATTATTAAAATTCTGTATCTAAATTACTATGATGGGTTTATACATCTAAATCCTAAACAAAAGAGAAACCTTGCTGGTACTGTTTTTGTCCATTATTACCTGCAAGTTTAATGTGAGAGGCAGACAAACACGAGCAAAGTGAAGGACTGAGGGTGGGGGGTGCATGACGAGCATCACGTGACAACTCTGGCCAAAATTCCAGCAGATTTTAGTCTCGTCGTGACTTCAAAATTTAAATCCTCACAGGGCCCTCCCTCAGTTTTAAATGAAATATGCTTGTCTCCATCGAAAAATACGGTTTAATCGAATCAAGTTATAAATATACTTTTTTTTTTTTTTTAATAATGTTACGTAACCCAAATCTGTAATTCAAATTTGTGTACTAGATGAATTGAGACTATTGGATCAGTAGGTTTTATTTAAAAAAGTTGACAGAACTCACTCATTCAATAGTTCTCCTTCATTTGGGATGAAAATTTGAATTACATAGTGTTTTACCCTTTTTTTTTTTTGGNAACTCACTCATCCAATAGTTCTCCTTCATTTGGGATGAAAATTTGAGTTACATAGTGTTTTATCCTTTTTTTTTTTTGGAGTTTAATGACTTACATTCACCTCAATTAATTTATTTTTTTGATTCGATCAAAGATAAATTATTCACGCCGAGAATTGTCAAAATTTAAATTCTGGACATATAGATTTTTAACTCGTTCTTGCTATCATTTGAATATTCTTTGGGGTTTAAGTCATAAATATTTGAAATAAATCTTTATATTTTTAGATTAATTCCTACTTTTTTTAATCTAATAGAGTCGTCACTACCCTTTATTGACAATTTTTTGCTAATATATCGACCTTGGTGCCATAGAATTTTTCTAGATTTAGAGGAGGAAAGTGTCATTGTTAAGTAACACTATATTTATTTTGTACCATGGAACTTACCCAGTTATTAAACAAGTATATATTTCAAAAGTTTATTTATTGTGGGGAAAGAGTCCAAAGGTCTGACACAGGTTTCCTAACAATCATGTAAGAGTTTTCGAGATTAGCAGTTGAGTTAATGAACTCGCCGTCCCCTAATAGTGTCTGTCCAAATTTAAAAAAAAAAAAGGTTAATTAATTAATATTTCACACTTTTGAGTTCCTATAAATCTGTCAAAAGTTTGGATTTGTTTAATCTGAGCTCTGATGTGAAACAATAGGAGCCACAGTAATGGTGGGTTTATTAGTGTCTCTGGAGATTCAGTGAATTTGGGTGGGTACTCTGAATTAGAATCGGTACAAGTTGCAGAGAAACGTTAACATTGTGGTTTCAGTGAAAGGGTAAAAAAGATTGTTGAAAGAAATATGGTAGCTGCTGGCAATGTGGATGGAAAATGGAGGTGACTTCTCTCTCTATCTCTCTCTTTCCGTAAGTGTGTGTATCTTTGTGTGATTTGTCTGTTTTTTTTTTTTTTTCCAAAATCTGAAATGGGGTTATGTCTCAGTGAAAAGAAGATGGAAGGGGACGATGGTTTGAGAACTACTATGGAATGTTTACGAGGGAGACTGCTTGCAGAAAGAGCGGCTTCAAGGGTTGCCAAAGAAGATGCAGAGCAAATGGGAAACAAGGTTTGTCCTCTCTCTCTCTCTCTCTCTCGCACACACACACACACACACTGTTGTGTTCGTGTTATGTTCTGTTTAAAACCTTCTGATTAGATTGATTGTACTTCTACCATTAGCTGTTCTTTCTCAATTCACAGTACATTTCCTCATTTCTCATTTGTTATTTGATCTGATCTCTCTCTCTCCCTCTCTCTCTCTCTCTCTCTCTCTCTCCNTTTTTTTTTTTTCCAAAATCTGAAATGGGGTTATGTCTCAGTGAAAAGAAGATGGAAGGGGACGATGGTTTGAGAACTACTATGGAATGTTTACGAGGGAGACTGCTTGCAGAAAGAGCGGCTTCAAGGGTTGCCAAAGAAGATGCAGAGCAAATGGGAAACAAGGTTTGTCCTCTCTCTCTCTCTCTCTCTCGCACACACACACACACACACTGTTGTGTTCGTGTTATGTTCTGTTTAAAACCTTCTGATTAGATTGATTGTACTTCTACCATTAGCTGTTCTTTCTCAATTCACAGTACATTTCCTCATTTGTTATTTGATCTGATCTCTCTCTCTCTCTCTCTCCCTCTCCCCCTCCCCTCTCTCTCTCTCTCACGCACACCCCCAAATGCAGCTTATTGAGCTAGAGACCCAGTTGAGAGCTGAGATAAAATCAAGGAATAAAGCTGAAAAAAAGTTGAAATTCCTGATGAAAAAACTTGAGTCCATGAATATATCATATGTTTCTGATGAATCAGAGCGTTCCAGCCTGTTGGAGAAGAGTGAAATGTCCTGTGTGTCATCTACAGCTTCTTCAAGCAGTAAAGAACCAGAAGATAAGGAATCCATTACCCAAATCAAAAACTTCCCCAAATGTGACATTGAAGAGCCAATGCAGAAGACAGAGCTCCTCATGATCAAGAATTTGAAGCAGAATATTTTTAAAACTAGTACATCTACTCAACACCACATTATTAGTCCTTCAAATGAAGAGACTTTGAGTTCTAGAGGCACAGCTGATTCTGAAAGGTCTGAGGAGCTTGAATCAAGGCACAACTACAATGATTCAATGACTGATAATCATGGGTATGTGCCCTCAATCTGCAAAATTCAATTAAATCCATTGTTTGTGTGGGTTAAATGTCTTTTTTTGTATTTGCACACACCATCGCACCACTCTTATCACATACCACCATACACCATATTGTGCCTGCATAGCTGAGTGGCATGCCTAAAAGTTCATGGGTGTGTATTCCAAGTGCATATGAGGTTTGTTTAAGCTAATTTTAATCCCAATATTGATTGATAATTACTTTCCAATATTTTCAGTGAAAAAACTTCCATAGAGGAAAAGAACATTAATGAAGAAAATTACCAGAATGAGGATGGCTATGTCGATAACTCGTTGGCATTAGTTCCACTTGATTTGCCGAAGACAGCAGATCAGATCCTTGATCCAGCTATTCTTGACTCAACGGTTAAAGAAGTTCTCGATGCTTTAAGGCATGCTAAGGAAAAGCTTCAGAGGTCAATGGACAGCAGACATATGTTTACAATTGCCTCTAGATAAAATTTCTAAGTGTTCTTGTATTCTAATATTAATTTCAGCTATAATAGCACAGAGGTCCATTTTTAGGGATTTTTCTTATCCATCCTTGTTTCAACATACATACAGAGGTAAGTATAGTCCTCTTGTTCTGCAAAAGTGGCTAAATTGATTGTGCATTTGATGATAGCAATGAACATCTGTAATGCTGCTCTTTAAGGCTTCGATGTACTAGTGCCTGCACCAAAACATCTTGAAGATTTCAATAAACGCCTTGAAAGGCAGGAATACAAGACAATTCACTAAATGTTTATTGGCTCTACGGGAAGAGTATGAAATCACATAACAAAGTAGCCATTTCAATAGGGTGTTTCTTCTTAATTGTATGCTTTTTGACTCCTATTACTGTCTTTCAACATAGCCTCCTTCCTACTATTCCTCCTCCTCCACCACACCCCCAACCCAGCCCATATGACCACCCACCAAAACCCTCAGCCCAAGACGTTATATTCAATGCGCAAGACTCTCGATAATTTAAGTGGATGTCCAACTATATATTTGGATTCTCTAGTTTTCAGAGGGAGGCCGTGAGGGGATCGTGTTCGAAAAATCTTCCATATTGTATTTTAGCTAAAAATACCTCCTAAATATGCTCGATCCAATTGGATCTCTTGGAAAATCGAAAAGATTTACCCTTTTATACCTTCGACAAAATGACCAAATTCCTGAATCCGTCTCTACATGTGTGCATGTTGTAATGGAAGTTTGTGAATTGACATGGGATTTCTCTAATAACTAAATTGCATGAACTGGGACCTACCATGGGCATAACAATGGTGGTTTCAGGTGACTTCCAAGAGTGTGATAGCCAGAAGGTTAAGACTCAAAAGGTTGGTGGCTAAGATGAATGAGACTAGGTGGGGGTGAGGTTGAGGTACTACATTCATGCAGTTAGTTGTCATACCTTTAGAGAAAAGTTTATTGAGCTATTTATGCTAGCCATGATNCATTCATGCAGTTAGTTGTCATACCTTTAGAGAAAAGTTTATTGAGCTATTTATGCTAGCCATGATCTGACCACCAAGACGCTTTTTAAAAGCTTTAGGCTAGTTTGAATGATAATAATTTTGATTGGGAATGAGATTTTTATTCTTAAATCTTAAATTATCATGTTTGGAGAATTAATTATTCACTAATTTAACTCAAGAATAAGGTTACTAGCGTTATCCAATTCTCAATAAGGATGGGTATCCTAAACCGACGGTGGTATTAATCTTATACCTACATTGATTTGGTATTGTATAAAAGAAATGAAAATCCCAAAATAAAGTTCCTTCCTAAAATTAATTTTATTTCAAAAATTAAATTCTCCTTCTAAAATCAATCTTCTTTTTAAAATAATTTGGTAATGATATTAATTCTCATATTAAATTACTGACAATAACTAAACACTACATATGAGGATACTATGATAATTGAAACCCGCCACTCCCAATTAAAATTATTGTCATCCAAACGTCTTCGACAAATAAAGAAAAAAAAATGGGACCTAGAAATTGCAAAGAGTCTCTCTCCATCCTCTTCAGGCATATTAAAACATGGAAGATATGTTGATAAAGAAAAAGGTTGCGTAATCCTAGGCGAATTCCATGGGCCTAAACATGCATATTGGTCTGGTCAATTCCATTTAGGTAAATTTGGCTCGTCACATGCTAGTATAAGAAAAATTCTGATTCCGTCCCTCGAGTATCATTAGGCATTGTTCCCATGGGTGGTTCAGCCAAAAATAGTACCATTTTGCCTTGACATTTCTTTCTGTTATATGTCAAATACTTTTTTGCCTGATGTATATAGCATAAGGCTTCAAAGCATATAGCTACCCTGAGTTGTGTATGCATATTTAGAGAGAATATTTAATGCCTTGGCCCTAATGTTTTCTTTGGGGTTGGGAGCCAGAATTTGCTGCAACCCAACACACCACGTAAAGAGAGGGGTCGGGGAGTGAAAGCAAATAACTATTAATTTTGGATTTAGATTTTTTGTAATATTTTTTTATCCCTTTTTTGCTATTTTTTAAAGCGCCCACTATGTATTAATGAAGAATAGATACAACATGACTTTATAATAAGTGATTTAGCAAACCCTAATCTAATATGTGGTTGGGTTAAAGTCCATCTAGTAAAGCTCTAGGCTCGTGGGGTCAAGTTTTTAATTGCCTGTTTATTTTTTAATATGGTACTAATGTGAATGATTGTCTTAATATCATTAAACTCAACTCTAATGAAGATGTTCCCCCGTGAGAAATTAGAGTAATAATCGAAGACATTAGACATTATACTAGGTTATACAACTTTAACTTTCAACACAAGCCTATAGTCTATAACGAGGTTGTTCACTGGGTAGCCATCACTATGTTAAACAATTCGCTTTCGTTAAATTAGTTAGACTCCCACCCCCAGAGCTTCCTAGGTAATAAAATGGATACCCTATTGTGTTTTGTTTAAAAAAAAAAAAATGGTGCTAATGTGATAATTTAGTAGGCCAAGAAAAGGACAAGGAGTAGACTTTCCCCTGTTTCTTTCCCATCAAAGGGTCACATTTTTTAGATGGGCCAAAAAAAACAAAGCTCACCCATCACACCAACTTATCAGCAAAATTAATTTTGCACATTACTTAAGTGTTCATCATTAGATTTTCACAAATATAGATTTTTTTTTGTCACTATTTGAAACATTATAGGAAAGGGATTTGTGAGATTCGAGCATCCGACCTAACAGTGGATTGCGGAGCTATTAGGTTATCGTTGATCCTCACACAAATGTAGATGAAACGGAAGGTAATTCGTGTATGAAATTACGGTGCAACGTAAGTGAGAAGTGATGTATTTTGAGAGGAGAAATTCAATGTGAATAATTTTGAGAGAAAAAATTCAATGTGAATAATTTTGAGAGGAATGTTGGTAGCGATTGGATGAGTCTATTTGAAACCATCGCATAAATTTATTGAAATATGTCATGTTTTATATTATAGATAAATACTTTTTTTTAAGACCAATTTAGATATACTAACTATCTTATTATATAGATGAAAAAAAAATTTGATGCCACATAGAGGTGTCAATTTTACCCGTCAACAACACGATTATAATATGAATTTGACATGACGTGAAATTTGAAAATAACACAACTAATTGATACAAATAATAAATTAAATAAAATAAAGTTAGAGATGATTAACTGATACTATAAGTAAAAAATATGTATTTAATAAAATTTTTTTGTTAAAATTAAATAATTTTTTATTAAAATAAACACAATATAAAAAAATTATTCAAAAATAATATAACACGAAAATAAACTCGACCTAACACCTCTATAAGGCGACATTCAATGTGACCAAGTGACGAGACCATCCCATGAACATGGAACATTGCAGTACCAATCCAATGTATATCATCCAACTGCGTCTTTTTGAATTGTGGGCCATTGGTCATCCTGTGACGTAGACTTAACTGATTATTAAAAGCAGTGACCATTGCATTGCAACCATATTCTCTTTAAACTAGGCCTGCCTGCTAAGTAAAGTCGCCTCGCATTAAAAAAATATTTTATTTGTAATTAATTTATTTATTACTATATATTTAACGAGTCATATTATATTGTATTAATGTCATATATCAACAAGGGCGGCTCAACCCAACTAGGGGTCGTAGGCAAAAATATTATGTGGGCCCTAGTAATATTTATTCAATAATAATATTAGTATTAAATAGTTATCAAAATATTAAAATATATATTTTTAAAAATTATTTGTTTTGTTTTTTTTAGATACAACATACTAATTTAAATTTAAATTTTACAAATAAAAATTGTGTTAACCGTAGTCAAATTCAAATATCAAATACAAATGGTATATGCAATTTGTTGAAGATAAAGAAAAACATAATTAAAAATTAGTTTAACTAGAAATACAAATATGGTTGATTAGTTTCAAATAGTGTATTACTTCTACTCATTCTATTTTATAGTTATTATATTTATTATAAATAAATTGATCAAAAAATAGCCTTAAGTTTAAGTTATAGAAATATAAAATCATTATTCATACCTATTATACGATAGATAATTGATTTTAATAATAAGACTGCAAAAGTGATAACACATATAATATAAATATCAGGTGAGATAAGAAAATTAGGTTGAACTCTAGGGCCCTAATTTTTTTTAAAAGATGTTCTAAAATTTTTACGATAATATTATTTGTACTTGATTTGAGGTCTAAATATATTAGATAAATAATGTATTTTATTTAAAATTAGCACTCTTAGTTAATTCAATGATTAAAATGTATTGAATATTTAAATTATATCTCAACATCTAGACTATATATCATCGTATAAAATTTTATTTTGAGACCCCAAAAATTTCTTCTAATTTGGGGCCCTAGGCAATGACTTTAGTGGCCTATAGGTTGGGCTGGTCCTGTATATCAATATGTATCGACATATAAATGAGTTGTGTTATATATATTTTTTTGATTAATTTCGCTCATACCTGATTTGTTTATTAATTATATCGTATCGGGTTCGCTCGTTATGAAACAAAATACCTTTAAAGAAGACTCAAATCCTCCAACATCGTATCTTCTTCGTGTTATATTAACAACCCTGCTTTAAACCACAATGTGCATATTTTTCGGTGCAAATAACGTTTTTTCTTTTTTCTTTAGATTATTACAGAGAAGAAGAGATGGGATTGGAACACACGATTTTAAAAATCTGACAATGGAGGTGATAGTTATTAGGAAAAGCAACCAACATATTAAATTCCTGANAACACCACATTATTAGTCCTTCAAATGAAGAGACTTTGAGTTCTAGAGGCACAGCTTCTGAAAGGTCTGAGGAGCTTGAATCAAGGCACAACTACAATGATTCAATGACCGATAATCATGGGTATGTGCCCTCAATCTGCAAAATTCAATTAAATCCATTGTTTGTGTGGGTTAAATGTCTTTTTTTGTATTTGCACACACCATCGCACCACTCTTATCACATACCACCATACACCATATTGTGCCTGCATAGCTGAGTGGCATGCCTAAAAGTTCATGGGTGTGTATTCCAAGTGCATATGAGGTTTGTTTAAGCTAATTTTAATTCCAATATTGATTGATAATTACTTTCCAATATTTTCAGTGAAAAAACTTCCATAGAGGAAAAGAACATTAATGAAGAAAATTACCAGAATGAGGATGGCTATGTCGATAACTCGTTGGCATTAGTTCCACTTGATTTGCCGAAGACAGCAGATCAGATCCTTGATCCAGCTATTCTTGACTCAACGGTTAAAGAAGTTCTCGATGCTTTAAGGCATGCTAAGGAAAAGCTTCAGAGGTCAATGGACAGCAGACATATGTTTACAATTGCCTCTAGATAAAATTTCTAAGTGTTCTTGTATTCTAATATTAATTTCAGCTATAATAGCACAGAGGTCCATTTTTAGGGATTTTTCTTATCCATCCTTGTTTCAACATACATACAGAGGTAAGTATAGTCCTCTTGTTCTGCAAAAGTGGCTAAATTGATTGTGCATTTGATGATAGCAATGAACATCTGTAATGCTGCTCTTTAAGGCTTCGATGTACTAGTGCCTGCACCAAAACATCTTGAAGATTTCAATAAACGCCTTGAAAGGCAGGAATACAAGACAATTCACTAAATGGTTATTGGCTCTACCGGAAGAGTATGAAATCACATAACAAAGTAGCCATTTCAATAGGGTGTTTCTTCTTAATTGTATGCTTTTTGACTCCTATTACTGTCTTTCAACATAGCCTCCTTCCTACTATTCCTCCTCCTCCACCACACCCCCAACCCAGCCCATATGACCACCCACCAAAACCCTCAGCCCAAGACGTTATATTCAATGCGCAAGACTCTCGATAATTTAAGTGGATGTCCAACTATATATTTGGATTCTCTAGTTTTCAGAGGGAGGCCGTGAGGGGATCGTGTTCGAAAAATCTTCCATATTGTATTTTAGCTAAAAATACCTCCTAAATATGCTCGATCCAATTGGATCTCTTGGAAAATCGAAAAGATTTACCCTTTTATACCTTCGACAAAATGACCAAAATCCTGAATCCGTCTCTACATGTGTGCATGTTGTAATGGAAGTTTGTGAATTGACATGGGATTTCTCTAATAACTAAATTGCATGAACTGGGACCTACCATGGGCATAACAATGGTGGTTTCAGGTGACTTCCAAGAGTGTGATAGCCAGAAGGTTAAGACTCAAAAGGTTGGTGGCTAAGATGAATGAGACTAGGTGGGGGTGAGGTTGAGGTACTACATTCATGCAGTTAGTTGTCATACCTTTAGAGAAAAGTTTATTGAGCTATTTATGCTAGCCATGATCTGACCACCAAGACGCTTTTTAAAAGCTTTAGGCTAGTTTGAATGATAATAATTTTGATTGGGAATGAGATTTTTATTCTTAAATCTTAAATTATCATGTTTGGAGAATTAATTATTCACTAATTTAACTCAAGAATAAGGTTATTAGCGTTATCCAATTCTCAATAAGGATGGGTATCCTAAACCGACGGTGGTATTAATCTTATACCTACATTGATTTGGTATTGTATAAAAGAAATGAAAATCCCAAAATAAAGTTCCTTCCTAAAATTAATTTTATTTCAAAAATTAAATTCTCCTTCTAAAATCAATCTTCTTTTTAAAATAATTTGGTAATGATATTAATTCTCATATTAAATTACTGACAATAACTAAACACTACATATGAGGATACTATGATAATTGAAACCCGCCACTCCCAATTAAAATTATTGTCATCCAAACGTCTTCGACAAATAAAGAAAAAAAAATGGGACCTAGAAATTGCAAAGAGTCTCTCTCCATCCTCTTCAGGCATATTAAAACATGGAAGATATGTTGATAAAGAAAAAGGTTGCGTAATCCTAGGCGAATTCCATGGGCCTAAACATGCATATTGGTCTGGTCAATTCCATTTAGGTAAATTTGGCTCGTCACATGCTAGTATAAGAAAAATTCTGATTCCGTCCCTCGAGTATCATTAGGCATTGTTCCCATGGGTGGTTCAGCCAAAAATAGTACCATTTTGCCTTGACATTTCTTTCTGTTATATGTCAAATACTTTTTTGCCTGATGTATATAGCATAAGGCTTCAAAGCATATAGCTACCCTGAGTTGTGTATGCATATTTAGAGAGAATATTTAATGCCTTGGCCCTAATGTTTTCTTTGGGGTTGGGAGCCAGAATTTGCTGCAACCCAACACACCACGTAAAGAGAGGGGTCGGGGGAGTGAAAGCAAATAACTATTAATTTTGGATTTAGATTTTTTGTAATATTTTTTTTATCCCCTTTTTTGCTATTTTTTATAGCGTCCACTATGTATTAATGAAGAATAGATACAACATGACTTTATAATAAGTGATTTAGCAAACCCTAATCTAATATGTGGTTGGGTTAAAGTCCATCTAGTAAAGCTCTAGGCTCATGGGGTCAAGTTTTTAATTGCCTGTTTATTTTTTAATATGGTCCTAATGTGAATGATTGTCTTAATATCATTAAGCTCAACTCTAATGAAGATGTTTCCCCCCGTGAGAAATTAGAGTAATAATCGAAGACATTAGACATTATACTAGGTTATACAACTTTAACTTTCAACACAAGCCTATAGTCTATAACGAGGTTGTTCACTGGGTAGCCATCACTATGTTAAACAATTCGCTTTCGTTAAATTAGTTAGACTCCCACCCCCAGAGCTTCCTAGGTAATAAAATGGATACCCTGTTGTGTTTTGTTTAAAAAAAAAAAAATGGTGCTAATGTGATAATTTAGTAGGCCAAGAAAAGGACAAGGAGTAGACTTTCCCCTGTTTCTTTCCCATCAAAGGGTCACATTTTTTAGATGGGCCAAAAAAAACAAAGCTCACCCATCACACCAACTAATCAGCAAAATTAATTTAGCACATTACTTAAGTGTTCATCATTAGATTTTCACAAATATAGATTTTTTTTTGTCACTATTTGAAACATTATAGGAAAGGGATTTGTGAGATTCGAGCATCCGACCTAACAGTGGATTGCGGAGCTATTAGGTTATCGTTGATCCTCACACAAATGTAGATGAAACGGAAGGTAATTCGTGTATGAAATTACGGTGCAACGTAAGTGAGAAGTAATGTATTTTGAGAGGAGAAATTTAATGTGAATAATTTTGAGAGGAAAAATTCAATGTGAATAATTTTGAGAGGGATGTTGGTAGCCATTGGATGAGTCTATTTGAGACCATCGCATAAATTTATTGAAATATGTCATATTTTATATTATAGATAAATACTTTTTTTTTAGGACCAATTTAGATATACTAACTACCTTATTATATAGATGAAAAAAAAATTTGATGCCACATAGAGGTGTCAATTTTACCTCTCAACAACATGATTATAATATGAATTTGACATGATGTGAAATTTGAAAATAACACAACTAATTGATACAAATAATAAATTAATTAAAATAAAGTTAGAGATGATTAACTGATACTATAAGTAAAAAATATGTATTTAATAAAATTTTTGTGTTAAAATTAAATAATTTTTTATTAAAATAAACACAATATAAAAAAATTATTTAAAAATAATATAACACGAAAATAAACACGACCTAACACCTCTATAAGGCGACATTCAATGTGACCAAGTGACGAGACCATCCCGTGAACATGGAACATTGCAGTACCAATCCAATGTATATCATCCAACTGCGTCTTTTTGAATTGTGGGCCATTGGTCATCCTGTGACGTAGACTTAACTGATTATTAAAAGCAGTGACCATTGCATTGCAACCATATTCTCTTTAAACTAGGCCTGCCTGCTAAGTAAAGTCGCCTCGCATTAAAAAAATATTTTATTTGTAATTAATTTATTTATTACTATATATTTAACGAGTCATATTATATTGTATTAATGTCATATATCAACAAGGGCGGCTCAACCCAACTAGCGGTCGTAGGCAAAAATATTATGTGGGCCCTAGTAATATTTATTCAATAATAATATTAGTATTAAATAGTTATCAAAATATTAAAATATATTTTTTTAAAAATTATTTGTTTTGTTTTTTTTAGATACAACATACTAATTTAAATTTAAATTTTACAAATAAAAATTGTGTTAACCGTAGTCAAATTCAAATATCAAATACAAATGGTATATGCAATTTGTTGAAGATAAAGAAAAACATAATTAAAAATTAGTTTAACTAGAAATACAAATATGGTTGATTAGTTTCAAATAGTGTATTACTTCTACTCATTCTATTTTATAGTTATTATATTTATTATAAATAAATTGATCAAAAAATAGCCTTAAGTTTAAGTTATAGAAATATAAAATCATTATTCATACCTATTATACGATAGATAATTGATTTTAATAATAAGACTGCAAAAGTGATAACACATATAATATAAATATCAGGTGAGATAAGAAAATTAGGTTGAACTCTAGGGCCCTAATTTTTTTTAAAAGAT